CGGTGGGGGGGAGCTAGAGAAACAGACAGAGAACTTAGAAAACAAAACCCAAAGAGCTCTTAAGCTCATCCACGTTGGCGATGACACAGGCATGCGGGTCCCACCAGCAGACCACCCCCCTGCCAGCCAAGCCCCTCCTCCCCTCCCCCTGCCAGCCAAACCCCTCCTCCCCCTTCCCCTCCTGCCAAGCCCCCTGCCGGCTGGAAAAGCCCAGTAGGCAGCCGAGGAAACAGATGGGATCCTGCTCAGGTGAGGTACACAGCCCTGAGACCTCTCTGGGGAATCTAGCAAAATCTCACAAGGCACCAGGCGGGTTCACCCTCTCACCAGCAATCCCACTTCTAGAAACCCACTCCCAACAAAAAAGGTGTCTATTCAGAGCGATCCCTGCAGCACTGTCCATAACAGCCAGAGGCCGGAAATGACTAAGGACGTTGGATGCCCCGCGAGATAACCTGCTAGGCCGTATGGCCCTTAGGAGTGGGAGGAGGTGTGTGTGTGTGGGGGAGTGAAAACACCAAAAGAGAAGAGGGGTAGTGTGTTTACCATGGAGGGCAGCCAGGAACACCCATAACCCTGCTCACATCAAGCCCTGAGGGGCAGCTAGTGTTCTGTGGGCAGTTTTGAGGGGGCTAGAAGCACTCTGGAGACAGATGGTGGCACTGGCTGCGCCACAGTGGAGTAAACCTTGACCTGTGCACTTAAAAATGGTCAGGATGGTAAGTTCTGTATACTTGACCATACCAAAAAAATAAAGGGAAAGCCAACGTTTAAAAACACGGTTCCAGTCTTCAGAACGCGTATGCCTCCCACTGTGGGTGCAGCCTGAGAATGCCCAGAGCTGTGGGACAAGGGTGAGGGCGTGGAACAGAAGCAGATCCTCCAGCTTGACCTGCAGCACACACCCCACGGTGAGGCAAGAAACCCCAGCCCCATGCCTCGTGAGAGGGTGAGGCGGACGGATGCTGCTCAACAAGCCAGGATGGGAGCAGTCATGCACACTGTGCTCCTACAAAGGCACCGCCTGCACACACTACACCCTTTCCACATGCCCCAACTTTAAGCCCAGCCTTGTCCGGGTCCCTAGAGGGCCTCTCCGGTTAGCGCTGAGCATCACCTTGTGCCTTTCCAGGGCCATTACCACGGCAACCAGAGCTGATACCCAGGCTTCCCTCTTGCAGTAGCACCGTTGGATGCTTCCTGCACCACCCAGCACTTCCTCCGGCTTGGGCCCGCCAGTTCCTGCAGTCACACAACTTTCAGGTTTGAGCTGACCTTCAGACACTGGAGCAGGTTCAAGGAAAGGATGTGCCTTTGGGACATCTGAGAAGTGAAAGGGGACACCCCAAGAAGGCACAGCAACCTCCTGCTCGCTGGATGGCAGGAGGGGCTGGGGGAGCCCCTAGGGCGGGTGACACACATGGTCCTCAAACCCATCCAGAA